ACTTCTCTAGGTGAGCCCATAGAACTACGTGGAAACCTGAGATACAATATATGTTTTTACCGTCATCTTTGTGTGCTTTGTGTGTGTTTTAAGCCACTGTGAATAAATTTAAAGTCGACAACTCTCATAGAAATGTCCCTAATCTCATAGAAAGTAGGGGTTTATGGGTGTCTATGGGTGTCTATGGGGTCGACCCCCCCCCCCTCCCACCAGTCTATGATAGAAGTCCATTGTCTATGACGTCTATGACGTCTATGTGGGTCTCTCTGGGTCTATGGGGCAACTTTGGTTTTTCCTGATGAGTGGGACTCGGCTCGACTTGGCCTATCCTTGCTGCATCTTGGGACATGTCCAATCAAATCCAGCTCCGGAACATTGGGACTTACTCATCGGCGTACTCTGTTACATCAAAGGCACACTGGACTACGGCATTCACTACTTGCAGCTGTCCGATCCTAATCGACCTGGAATGGGTCTGAAGCCGGAGGGATTCGTCGATTCGGACTAGGCTGGGTGCGTCGACACGCGGCGTTCGACATCCGGCTACCTCTTCTTCATGGGCGGTGCTCCCGTTTGCTGGTTGTCAAAGCGGCAGACGGTGGTGGCGCTATCGTCCACTGAGGCTGAGTACATTTCTTTGGCGCGGGGCGCGCAGCAGTTGATGTGGATGAAGAACTGGCTTTCCGAGGTCTTCTTGCCGCAAGAACTTCCATTCCAGCTTCGTGGCGACAACCTGGGTTCCATCAGCCTTACGGAAACAACGAAGGGGCACGGGCTGTTGAAACACCTCGATATCTGTTGGCATTACATTCGCAGTCGCGTGAAGGAGGGCGAGATTGCGGTGTCTTCAGTGCCGGGAAAGGAAAATGTTGCCGATATTTTGACGAAGGCGCTTCCGTGGGTGGCGCACGAGAAGATTGTCGGTCAGTTGGGTTTGGATTGGAAGCGGAAGACGGCTGAACGCCAGGGGGAGTGTTGAGGACGGGATTTCCCTTTCGGGTGGTTGGCGTTCAGTGCCAGATCGGGAAGTTTATTGATTTATTATTCTTTTGACGTCGATCGTATCTGCACCATATATATGGTGCGGATCCGTCTCCACGGCCCTCAGTCTTATACCACCACTGGGTGCGACTGAGGGTACGTTCACCTTACGTATTTCTTTATTCACCTTACTTACAATCTTACGTGTAGACATCTACTTACTGTATTCTCTACACCGTCGACTGCTCTGTAGGTGTACTTGTCCACTAATTATTATTAACGAACATGTTCATGAATGCGAAAACATGGTTGATCGCGATATATGCACGAAACTGGATAAAACGCGCAGGAGTGTGCCAGAATTGGTGTATTTTGCAGAGAGGATCATTCGCGTCCCAAATGTTCTGTCATTTCATAATATTCTCGCAAACTGTGCGAGGATTGACAAGTAGCTGCAAAGATTTTCCCTAATTTCCTGATGCACCTGCCTTTCCTAGCTCGGAGAAGATATTTCCATTTGTAGGCAGGAGGGCCCCGTTCGACTCGGGGTCGGGTGATGAGTTGTTGAGTTGCTTTAACTCCTTCTTCTGCTGCCTGCAGGGCCACAAGTACTAGTGAATGAATATATAGCCCGTTACCTGTATGTACTTAGATCCAAATTGTAGGCATGGACACACCCGATAGCACATGGTGTGCACCTGCCTTCCTTACACGGCCAAGATATCAGTATGTAGGCAGGAGGTCCCCGTTCGACTCGAGTGATAGTCACAGCAAGTTAGAGTCTTTTTTTCTCCCTAAGGAGTTGATTCTTCCTTCTCCGGGGAGCTGATTTGTCTTCCTTGTTTACCTCCTGCAATTACATCATGGGCAAACTGATCTTTGTTCACAACTTGCGTGATGGGTTTCCAACCATGCCCACACTTGTTGGAGGTTGAAACTGGGTAGGAGAACACCTGGTGGCACATGGTGTGCACCTGCCTTCCGTAAACGATCAGTTGGTAGAATGTGTGGGCAGGAGGCCCCCGTTCGACTCGGGGTCGGGTAATAATGATTGTGTTTGGGTCCACTTTTTCTTTTTCTGTCTTTTCAAACCTTCCCCTTGTCTTTCACATCCCTCTCAAACTAACTGGTTTACCTGGCTTGCATGGGTAGAAGTACCGCTCGGTTCATCTATGTTGACCGCTGACCGCTGAGTTTTTATTAAGGACCGTAAAGGTAAAGTGCAAGTCGGGCGGGACAGTGGTGTCTTTTCGACCACTCTCACCATTTTTTTGCTCACACCTATCCAGCTTTAAAGCAGGTAGGAGAACACCTGGTGGCATATGGTGTGCATCTGCCTTCCTTGAGTTGCCTATTCCCAGAAGTGGGGAGGAGGTCCCCGTTCGACTCGGGGTCGGGTTATGGGGTCATTGGTAACGATTTGTTTTTTTCCTCTCCAACTACGGTGACTGATGCTTTGGTTCCCTTTTCTTCCCTTCAGCACACTGTCATTCAGTTTTCTGTAAAATACAGCTTGGTGCATGTGCACCTTTGTTTCAAACTTTCGTGATGGGTTTTCAACTTGGCTGATCAATTTCTGCTCACACTTGTTGAGGTTCAAAACTGGGTAGGAGAACACCCGATGGCACATGGTGTGCACCTGCCTTTCCTAATCGTCTGCACGAGTGTATGTAGGCAGGAGGCCCCCGTTCGACTCGGGGTCCGGTGATGAGTTGTTGTGTTTGGATTTTTCTTTCTCTTTCTTTTCAAACCCTCCCCTTCCCCTCGTGTTTATCAAACTAATTGATTCACTCACCTTGCATGGAAGGGAGTACCACGAGGTTCATCTCTGTTAACCACTACTGAGTCTTTTTTTTTTGTCAGGATCGTAAAAGTAAAGTGCAAGTTGGTGGCGAGCGGGCGGGATGGTGTCTTTTCAATGCACTGTTTTTTTTTTGTTCACACCTACTCAGCCTCCAAATAAAGCTGAGAACGCCTGGTAGCACATGGTGTGCACCTGCCTTTCCTAGCTCGAAGAAGATATTTCCATTTGTAGGCAGGAGGTCCCCGTTCGACTCGGGGTCGGGTTATGGCTTCAAAGCTGAAGATTCTTTTTTTCTCTCTCCAACTACGGTGATTGATCCTATGGTTCCCTTTTCTTCCTTAGCAAACTGCCATTTTCTCTTATGTAAAATACAGTTTGGTGCATGCGTCTTTGTTCGAAATTTGTGTGGTGTGTTTCAACTTGGCTGACCACCTTCTGCTCATGCTTGTGGAGGTTTCAAACTGGGTAGGAGGACACCTGATAGCATATGGTGTGCACCTGCCTTTCCTAATTGCCTGCACAAGCATATGTAGGCAGGAGGTCCCCGTTCGACTCGGGGTCGGGTGATGCGCTCTGAAATTGCCAAAACTTTTTTTTATCCTTCAAATCTTCTGCTCGTCTTTCTCATAATAACTATTCACCTTGCGTGGGTGGAAGTACCACTAGGTTCATTTATGTTGACTGCTGAGTGCGGAGTGTCTTTTTTATCGGATCGTAAAAAGTAAAGTGCAAGTTGGGATTAGGATGGTGTCTTTTCAACCACACCGTGCACTGTTTTTTTTTTTTTTTCACACCTATCCAGCTTTAAAGCAGGTAGGAGGACACCTGGTAGCACATGGTGTGCACCTGCCTTCCTTGTAAGGATCCGTTTGTAGGCAGGAGGTCCCCGTTCGATTCGGGGTCGGGTTATGGGGTCATTGGTAAGGGTTTCTTTTTTTCCTCTCCAACTACGGTGACTGATCTTTTAGTTCCCATTTCTTCCCCTCAGCAAACTGTCATTCAGTTTTCTGTAAAATACAGCTTGGTGCATGTGCACCTTTGTTTCAAACTTTTGTGATGTCTTTCCAACTTGGCTGACCAACTTCTGCTCATGCTTATGGAGGTTTAAAACTGGGCAGGAGAACACCTGGTAGCACATGGTGTGCACCTGCCTTTCCTAACTCTGTGAAGATGTATGTAGGCAGGAGGTCCCCGTTCGACTCGGGGTCGGGTGATAATCTGTTGTGTTTGGTCTTTCTTTCTCTTTCTTTTCAAACCCACCCCTTCCCTCGTCTTTATCAAACTAATTAATTCACTCACCTTGCATGGAAGTACCACCAGGTGACAAATAGCGTACACTGAGGGCTTGAGTGTGGTTGTTTTTTTGGGATCATAAAATGTAAAGTGCAAGTTGGGCGGGACAGTGGTGTGAGGAAACCACACCTTGCACCATTTGTTTTTGTTCACACCTATCAGACTTCAAAGCAGGTAGGAGGACACCTGGTAGCACATGGTGTGCACCTGCCTTTCCTAATCGTCTGCACAAGCATATGTAGGCGGGAGGCCCCCATTCGATCCGGGGTCGGGTGATACTGGTTGTGGTCAAGTTTTTTTCTCTCTTTTTCTTTCTTTTCAATCCCTCCCCTTCCCCTTGTCTTCCTCATCCCTCTCAAGATAACTACTGACCTTGCATGGAAGGGAGTACCACGAGGCTCGTCTATGTTGACCGCTGATTGCGGAGTGTCTTTTTTATTTATGGGATCGTAAAGGTAAAGTGCACGTTGGGCGGGACAGTGGTGTCTTTTCAACCACACCGTGCACTGTTTTTTTTGTTGCTCACACCTGTCAGGCTTCAAAGCAGGTAGGAGGACACATGGTAGCACATGGTGCGCACCTGCCTTTCCTTATCTCAATGCAAGTATATGTAGGCAGGAGGCCCCCGTTTGATTCGGGGTCGGGTGATGATTACTGTGGTCCGCTTTTCTTTTCTTTCTCTTTCTTTTCAAACCTTCCCTTGTCTTCTCATCTCTCTCGAACTAATTCATTTACCCGCCTTGCATGGGTAGAAATACTGCGAGGGTCATTTATGTTGACCGCTGAGTGCAGAGTGTCTTTTTTATATGATTGTAAAAGTAAAGTGCAAGTTCAATGGGTGGGAGTCACCAGTGGTGTCTTTTCAACCACACTGTGCACTGTTCTTGTTCACACCTATCAGACTTCAAATCAGGTAGGAGGACACCTGGTAGCACATGGTGTGCACCTGCCTTCCTTACGCGTGGAACCAGTTAAAGATGTAGGCAGGAGGTCCCCGTTCGACTCGGGGTCGGGTGATAGCTTCGGCGAATTGGATTTTTTTTTTCTCCCTAAGGAATTGATCCTTATTTTCTCCGGGGAGCTGATTTCTCTTCCCTTTTCACCTCCTGCAATTGCATCATGGGCAAACTGATCTTTGTTCAATACTTTCGTGATCGGTTTTCAACCATGCCCACACTTGTTGGAGGTTCAAAACTGGGTAAGAACACCTGGTGGCACATGGTGTGCACCTGCCTTCCGTAAACGATCAGTTGGTAGAATGTGTGGGCAGGAGGTCCCCGTTCGACTCGGGGTCGGGTGATAATCTGTTGTGTTTGGTCTTTTCTTTCTCTTTCTTTCTTTTCAAATTTTCCCCTCGTCCTTCTCACCTCTCTCAAACTAATTGATTTACTCACCTTGCATGGGCGGAGGTACCGCGAGGTTCATCTATGTTGGCTGCTGAGTGCTAGGCGTGTTTTTTTTTTAGGATCATAAAGATGAGATAAAGTGCAAGTTGGGATTAGGACGCTGTCTTTTCAACCACACTCACCATTTTTTTGCTCACACTTGTTGAGGTTCAAAACTGGGTAGGAGGACACCCGATGGCACATGGTGTGCGCCTGCCTTTCCTGATTGCCTGCACAAGCATGTGTAGGCAGGAGGCCCCCGTTCGATTCGGGGTCGGGTGATGAGTTATTGCACTTGATTTTTTCTTTCCCTTTCTTTTCAAACCTTCCCTCGCCTTTCACATCTCTCTCAAACTAACTGGTTTACCTGGCTTGCATGGGTAGAAGTACCGCTCGGTTCATCCATGCTGAACTTCGAGTGCGGAGTGTTTTTTATTTAGGATTGTAAAAAGTAAAGTGCAAGTTGGGATGACAATTAGCCAGTGGGTGGGGGATGGTGTCTTTCCAACCACAATTACCATTTTTTTGTGTTCACACCTACCCAGCTTTAAAGCAGGTAGGAGGACACCTGATGGCACATGGTGTGCACCTGCCCTCCTTTACGGCCCAAAGCATTGTAGGCAGGAGGTCCCCGTTCGATTCGGGGTCGGGTTATAAAAAGTGATATCTCACTTTTTCCTCTCCAACTACGGTGTCTGGGAAGCTGCTTCCTTTTTCTTCCCCTCAGCAAACTGTCATTCAGTTTTCTATTCTGTAAAATACAGTTTGGTGCATGTGTCTTCGTTCGAAATTTGTGTGGTGGGTTTTCAACCACACTCACCAATTTTCGCATAATCATTGAGACCACGCGTAGTACTCGGGAAACCAAAGGGACTGGAACTCAATGCAGAAATCTTTGGCTCACACTTGTTGAAGTTCAAAACTGGGTATGAGAACACCCGATGGCACATGTTGTGCACCTGCCCTCCTTTGCGCCCTAAAGTGTGTATAGGCAGGAGGCCCCCGTTCGATTCGGGGTCGGGCGATGCTGAGGTGGACGCGTTTTTATGTTGCGTGCAACAGTGAGTGCGTACTGTACATTGATCTACCCCGTTCCCCGTTCCTACCCCGTTCCCCGTTCCCCGTTCCCCGTTCCCCGTTCCTACTCCGCCGAATGAATACTTACTTACTTGCCGAAAGTGAACGCCGAACACCGCTTCGTACGCGGCGCCAAGTATGATAAGTACCCTACACTCAGCAGAAGTTAGAACGCCGTCGGGTGTGTGAGTGCTCCGCGATGGTTGCCTTGGTCGGAGTTGGATGACTTGCAAATGATGGATGGATGAGCGGGAGTGACTCCGAGTAAGTCTTGGGTCCGTGATGCTCTGTGATGCTGCCAGCTAGCCCTGGTGCAGGGCGAGCGAGCTTGAGACGCGCCGGGCGAGGTCCCAGGCCACATTCGTCCTCAGAATTCGCGTGTCGTTTCATCGCACCAAGTGTCTTGGCGCGGCGCGGCGTTGGCAGGAACGGGAACGGCACGCGTAGCACAGTCCCAAAACAGACGACGGGCGCTGATTTGATCTCGCGTACGTCACCGGGCCGATCCGGATTTAGATGAAATTGGGATTGACAACCGCGCCCGCGCAGCAATCGATCCGCTTCTACCTCTAAACACCACACCCGCCCGAAGACAGTTTTTGAAGGAATAGAGGAATAGAGGAGCAATAACGGATGTCGTTCTTCAAGAAACTCGAGACCCTGGTCGACAGGCTGCCGGAGGGGTACCAGCACACCAGGGATGAGATTATCGGTGTGTCCCCTTCCTTCCCCTTGGGCCCTTCGCTTGCGCCGTATCGCTCTGCCCACGCGTACTCCGACTCGCATCTTGCTTGATAGGAGTGGATAGAGCGGGCATTCCTCCTTTCCAAAAAGCTTTCACGCGCGTACTGACGTTCATTGCCTTGTTTGTCGTACAGGCCTCGTCAACCCCAATCGTGCGTCATCCTCCCTCCTCTCGTTGGTACTTCGCATTAGCTAACTTGAACGCGGTGCCACGCAGGCCGCCACGACGACCCCGAGGAAAAGCGGCAGGACGCGATCCGCGCAGAGATCAACGCGGGGCACCGGTTCGACAGCTTTGCGGCGGAGAGGAGCGAGAATTTCGTGAAATGGTGCGTCGCCGTCGTGTATTGAGGCTTGAGGCTTGGGCGGAGAGGACAGGCGATGTGGGGTGTCGATGAGGAGGGCGAGTGGGCGGTGGGTGCCGTTTGTCGGAGGATTGGGGCACAGACCCTCCGTCCCTTTGGGCATTGCGCCGATGTGCATCGGGCGGATATGCTGCGCCCTTTTGTCCAGCCGTACCCTCGTATCGTCGCCTCGCATCGCCCTCGCATTCGGCTCGATGGTGCTTGGCCCCGCTCCTTCCCGCGTCCCCGCCCCTCCCCGCCCCTCCCCGTCCTCATCCCCCCACCACGCCGCATTCCCCTCCCCTTCCGATCCTATCGTCCACCCCCGCCTTCCCCTCCCCCCGCCTTCCCCTCCCCCCGCCTCCCCTTTCCCTTCCAATTCCACTCTCCACTCTGCACTCCCTCGCACTAACCAACACCCACAGGCACATCGACGGGCACGACTACATGTGGGCCCTCTCCGAGATGATCGACAACGCGCGCGAGGTCATATTCATCCAGGTTCGTGGCTTTGGCTTTGTCTTTTGTTTTGTGCTTCGTGCTTCGCGCGCGTTTGCGGGCGGTGCCGGCGTCGGGTGCGGGTGCGGGCGCGCCGTTCGGCGGTCCCGCCTTGCGCGCGGCGACGCCCTTGGTTTGCTCGCGCGGCGCTCTGCAGCTGGACGGCCGTGTGGCGGCTCTCGCCGCGCGCCTTCCTTGCATGGTGACGACGACGACCGTGCGCACGCCGCGTTCGGCGGTTCGATGCGCGGTTCAGGGCCCGCCTTGAGCGGCGCACCGTTGCCTTTCGCATCCCCCCTCCCTCCCTCCCTTCCTTCCCCCTCCTCCCTCCTCCCTCCCTCCTTCCCTTCCTTCCCCTTCCCCCTCGTTCTCCACCCTCCCCTCTCACATCACACCTCCGCATAAAACTAACCCGCCCCTTTTTTAAGGACTGGTGGCTCACCCCCGAGCTCTACCTCCGCCGCCCGCCCGCCGCGCACCCCGAGTGGCGCCTCGACAGGCTGCTGAAGCGCAAGGCCGAGGAGGGCGTCAAGGTATGCGCTTTCTTGCTTTTTGTTGTTATGTCTGCGCACGAGCTTTGTCTGCGCCTGGTTTGCACGTGGTTCGCGCCGATTTTTGCGATCTTTGCGATTTTGGAGGGGTGGCGGGTTGCGGAGGTGGTGGTTTGGGTCGGACGGGGAGGCGGAGCGCTGTTTTTTTGGAGGCGGCGTCATGCGAGTGCGAGGAGGGCGTGGGTCCCGATTCGTCAGGCTTCGCTTGGGCGTCCGCAATTTTTTGGGCGGGGCCAGCCCCTTTCGTCGGGGAGAGTTCTAAAAGTTCTAACCGGAACAAAGACGGCGACTGAGCGCGTAACGGGGGGCGCTCGAGGCGTCTCGACGCGCTTTTTCCGCGACCCTGCAGGCGCGTGCCTCCCGCCTCCCGCCTCCTGGGTATATATCGAGACTGCGTCGGAGGGACGCAACGCACATTCGGTCCGGTGCGGTCCACGCGCGTCCGCGTCGTCGTCGTTGGCTTCTGCATGCTTCGTCTCCTCCTCTTGTCTGTGGTGCCGCGGCCGCGTCCCGTCGTTGTCGTATCTCGGCAAAGACCCCCCGTGCTCCTCGTCCCGGGCCGCGTCTGCGCTTTCGTTTTTTCGTGTTGGGTGTTGGTGTTGGTCGGCAGTGGGGTTTTGGATTCCTGCGCAGGAGACGGGATCGCGATCCTTTCTTCTTTTTTATTTTTTCGGCGGTCGTGTATGGAGGCTGGCTGGCTGGATGGATGGAGCGAAGGACAGGCTTGCGGACGGCGCGGCTTTTGCGGTTGCGGACGTCTGCCTCGTCGTCGTCACCCCGCGACGCGCACTTCCCGGTCCCTGCGCCATACGCGCATTCGCATTCGTTCGTCTGGCGGGCCTCCTTTCCTTCTGCTTTTCTTGACGAATGAGGCAACGTTCGGGCGTTCCTCCACACTCCTTCCCTCTCCCCCTCTCCCCCACCTCTTCCCTCGCCACCCACTAACCCCTCCCCGCAGGTCCACGTAATCGTCTACAAAGAAGTCACGCAGACCATGACCATGTCGTCCAAGCACACCAAGAGCGCGCTCGAGGGGCTGCATCCCAACGTGACGTGCCTGCGGCATCCGGACCATATTGGGGCGAAAGGTGCGTTTTGGGTCTGGTTTTTTGGGGGATGGGGGGGAGGGAGGGGGAGGTTTTTGTGGGGAGGGGTGGGGAGGAAGGCAGGGTGGGGTGTGGGGAGATTATGCCGAGAGCAGGGCGTGTGGAGCTTTTATGAGACGGGAGACGGGGAACAATGTCAAGGGGGTGGGGCGTGGACGTGCTTTTGGGACGGGTGCGCGGGGAGTTTTGTTGTCGTTGGGCTCGGGCGTCGTGAGCTTAGCGTTGGACGTTCGCGCTGCAGACGATGGCGCGGATGCGTAGGTCGGGCTGCGTGGGTACCTGGGTACCGTCGTTGATGCCGAGGCGAGGCGCGGATGCGGATGGGGAGGGGGATGTGGAGGGACGGCGGCGGTGAGAGCTTGCGGAAGTCGCAGATCGTGTGGCGGCGTGCGCTTGCGGCGATGCTGCGCTGGGGATGATGGGGATAATGCGCGAGAGGCAGAGGGCGGAGGGCGAGCGTGGTCTATCGCGGATTACGGGCTGCGCTTACGATGATGCTGCGCTGCTGCGATCGTCCGCGGGAGGTGGAGGGCCAGGAGCGCGCCTGGAAGATGTCCAGTACGCGGTGCGCCGCAGAGGGTCAAATTCTGGGGAGTAGGAGTCCGTCCACATCGCTCCGACGTATCTGCGTCGCATCCCTTCCCTCCCCATACTCCTCAATCTCCCCCTTCTGTCTTTCACTCCCCTCCTCTCAAACGCCTTCCCGCTTTCACCTACACATACTAATCGATCGTCAACAGATACGGTCGAGTTCTGGTCGCACCACGAAAAGGTGGTCGTGGTGGACAACCACTACGCGTGCATCGGGGGGCTGGACCTGTGCTTTGGGCGGTGGGACACGCATACGCACCCGCTTGCGGATGTGCATCCGACCGATTTTAGTGCGTGCTGCTTCCTTTTTTTTTTCACGCGAAAGGCGAAAAAGGAAAGAAAGAACGCGCAGTTGGCGATGGCGGCGTTGT